AAAAATAAATAAATAAAATGATAAAAAAAATAAAATAAAATAAAAATAAAAAATAACTATCCTAAAAGGAGATATAATATACCAAAAGTTGAAATGTAGTTATCTTTAAATATTGTAGATGTTATTTCCTTTTTTTCATATTTCTATTTTGTTTAACAGAATTAATGTGTAGCTTTTATAATATGAAAAATTATTTTAAAAAATCATTTTATGAAGATGATCAAAATTATCACTATAAGGCAATTCTGAAAAGTATGGATTTATTTGCAGGAGTCAGGACAAGGTGTCTCTGAGTCTGTTTTCTAAGAGACAATAGGATAGTTGAAACAAACTAATCTTCTTAAATGACTACTACTTAAGAAAACTAAAACCTAACATCTCTGAATAAATTAATAGGGTAAAGAACTTTGGGGAGAAAAATCCTATAAAGTTAACACCTGTATTCTACTGGTTCTAGAAATAGCATTAATAGGAATTTCTAGTTAATTATCTTTCACCGTTGTTGGTAAAAAGAAGGAAGAAGGAGAAAAATATTTTTAAAAGCAAAAAGTGTGAAAGGAGACCATAAATACCTTGTGAGCCAAGTGGAAGAGGAGGCGGTTTTGAAGTCGGCTTTTTGGAGCTGAAAAAAAAAATCCAAGCCGCTTATTAAAGGACCCAATTGTCAGTGGCAATTAGTCTCTTGTAGGAATGACATGAGACTCAGAAAAATATTCCCAAATCCTTACATATCTGATCCTCATATGTCTCTGCTTAATATGTATTATTTTAGTCTAGTATCCACCTGCAGTAGCAGCAACAGCATCAAGAACCAGAAGAAAAATGTTCTAAGGTTCTGCTCTCCCCCACCACTTGTTCTACCTGATTCTATTATGGTGATCGACAGCACAGCACTCCACACACACAGTTCTAGCAGCAGCCCACCGCTGTGCTGCTCACATGCCAAACCAAACACTGGAAAAAAACGGTTATGGTCACCTCAATACATGTGGAAACCTACCTTCATTCAGCTGTTCATCCCAGTTTTCTTTGTTAATTCCTTCTAAAATCTCCTTTTCCACAATTACACTGCCATATTTTCTTAAATACTAGCCCAGCCTCTATTCTATAGATCTGCTAGCATGATCATCTGCCACACTGAAACAGGTAGCCAAGCAAAAAGGTTAACTCCTTTCAAGTTCCAAATCCCCTTTGTACTCTTGGAGAATTTTCCTAATTCTCAACACCCAATCCTGTATCTCTTTATAGTAAAAAGTCATACTTCAATGTATAAAAAAGAAAAAATATATATGCAAAGAGAGAGAGATACCTCGATCACTTTCTATGTGTCTAACACTGTTCTAGGCACAGATAAAGTCTAGAAACACGAGATAAAGTAAGTAACTTAAAGGCCCTTATAACTAAATTAGGAAAAACTACATTAATACATATGAAACAATTGGGTACAAATCAAGAAAGCTTTCAAGTTCCACATTTTCCAGGAATTTGAGCTGGAATTTTTTCTAAATACGTATACATCAGTTAATTCTCTAAGAATTCTAACCTGGAATACATTCTTCCCTAACAAGTATTCTCTTGCCCATTTTCTCTGCATTTCTTTGAATTTAATTTGATTCACACTCTAATTATTCTTCATCTTTCCTCCCATATTCCCTTTTGCTCTACTCTCATTTGCAAATTTGAGTCCAGTTCTCCTATGATGACTGTCATGACAAATAAAGTGAAAGGGAAGAAGTCTGGATTCTTCAAGCTGAAATTGCTTGGCTTCTCACTCAGAAGCAGGGAAAGCAGCTATAAAATCCACATCCCTAAGAGTCTGAACGACTATACCCAATTCCTACCAACAGCAGGAATATCCTACCACGATGGGGCCTAAGAATGATACCTTGTCCTTTTTCTTCTCTCATCCTCTGCTTTTTGGCTATAGCTTCTGGGGAGGTGGGGTGGGGAGAGGAAGCAGCACAGAGATTAACTCTCTCTTTACACATAAACGTTGCTCAGATCCAATATTCTTTGAAGAGTAAAGCTATTTTTTAGCTTTCTGATGTCACTTGGTTTTTCCTCAATAGCAAAAGGAATTAAGTTGTAAAATCTCAAAAATGACTCTTCCTATTAGTGATGAATACCAGATATTAAAAAGGCCCATTGTACCTTTAAATCCAGCTGCTTCAGCTTGTTTATACATTCCAAGAAAAAAGTAGGTACAGGCTAGGTTCACCCAGACTTCAGGATTGCAATTTTCCTCTTTTGTCGCATTTTCATATTCCTGAAATAGATATTAAGCAGCCATCTCATTTCAGCAGTAAAGCCATCTATGGGCCATTCTTCTATAACAGAACAGGATTTCTCACTGTGATTGTGCAACTTCACATTTAGGGAATCCTACACGCTCCTCCACTATTCTAGACCTGTAAGGTTAAATACTGAACCTAAAGCTCAATCCTAACCATGCAGGGCTACGGTTCATATAATCTTATGATTGTTTTTCCCCCTTTTAACATTGATATGGGCTAACAAACTGAAGAAATGAAAAGTGACTAAAATATTTTATTTTTGCTAACTTAAAAAGACATAGAAAAGATACCTCATAAAAAATGCATAGGTTCAGTTAACTTGAAAGCTGATAACCTTAATACACAACAAATTTCACTTCATTCTAATTGTTTTATGGCTTTGTTTATTTGGCTTTACATTTTAAAAAGGTATTTTTAATTAATTAATTAAAATAAATAAACAAAAGGATTTTTTTTCCTGCCAAGAACACTTCTGAGATTCACTCTGTCAACTACATTTTCCGTATACTTTTACTATTTGTCAGTCTTTCCTCGATGCCTTTGTTTCTTTTTCTGACTACATTTGGGTTACTCTCTTTTCTCCTACATCTTTCACAAACACTACCAGCCTCTACTCTGTCCTTTTCACATCTTCCCTTTTCCTTCACTGATTTTGTTGCTTTTGTTCTTCATCTCACCTCCTCATGACCTGATCTTGGACACTTTCATTTTAGTTATGTAGGTTCTTTAAATATCCTTAGATTACTTTTTTGGGAGTAAGAATATGTGGGAAATGTTTAAACAATTTCACTTCTGAATTAAAAATTGCTTGACATAAGGCATCTATAATTTTATCTAGGTCCATAATCCTATAGATTGTTCATTAGATAGGTAGGGTTTACGACGACCAACAAAGACAACTTTCAAAACAATACTTGTAAAAATATAAACACAATATACTCTCTCCTATGTCGGAAATTAACCAAGCAAAATAAAAATGAACTTCTTTTAAGAAAAGAATCACGAAAATTCTTTATCAAAAGGGCTTATTTTTCTTCTTAAGATTTCTTTAAGAAATACTAATGTTAATATGTTGAACAATCTCATTAGTATATATCTAAAAGCAAAAAGTAAACAAGATATATATACATATATTTGAACATATATAGATTTCTGAAGCAATACATCAAAAAAGAGACAATGGTTGCCTCTGTTAACAAAAAAATAGGATTGGGGAAGGCAGACAGGATGGCTTTTTTTCTTTTTACTTTGTTCCCTTCTACATTGTTTGAACTTTACCATGAGTGTATATTATTATAATACAAAGCTTAATGACCTTTTCAAAACCCTTCTGTTATAAATTTTTTTTTTACTAACCTCTAAAGCTCTCTTGTAGTCACCCAGGTGAAAAGCACAGTATCCAATCCACAAATTAGTATCCTCTTCATGTTCCCCAACATGACGTTTGAACTTCAGGTTAAAATTTTAGGGAAAAAAAAACATGAAGAACTTTGATTAGTAAACCCTCTGTTTAAAAAACTGCTATGTTAAGTTACTGATGAACAATAGGAAATTGTAAGTAATAGAAGCAAGACAGTACTCAATTTATTTTATTATTTATTTATTTTTTAGAGTACTTTCTTTTTCCTTTTGCTGAGGAAGACTCACCCTGAGCTAACATCTGTTGCCAATCTTCCTCTTTTTAGCTTAAGGAAGATTGACCCTGTGCTAACATCTGTGCCAGTCTTCCCCTATTTTGTATGTGGGTCGCTGCCACAGCATGGCTTGATGAGCAGTGTAGGACCACGCCTGGGATATGAACCTGCAAACCTGGGCTGCCAAAGTGAAGTGCACTGAACTTAACCACTACACCACTGGGTCGGCCCCAAGACAATACCCAATTTAGTTAATCCTATATCTACAGAACTCAGCACAATTACCTTGTAAGTGTCACAGAAATTTATATTTTCAAATATTTCACATTTGTTTTTCTGTATTTACTGAGACCTTATTCCAGAAAGTATTTAAGAGTTAGCCTCGTAATGGGTGATATATAAGGAACATAAGAATTATGTGAAGTATTTAATGCCAAATAACTGAAGGGTAGAGAGATTTAGCAATGAACTCAAGGCCACACAGCCAGTAAGTGTGGTGGCAGCGACCACCACAGCCCACTGACTCCAAAGCCCATTTCTCACCCTCCATGCTCTGCATTCACCCTTACACTTCAAACCGGTCCCATTAGCTCACACATATATTTATTCATAGGTTATGAGCTTTAGCTGAGGACAAGCCATTAAATCATTCTATTACCCTTGAACAGGTTTACCAGGGCTTACAAGAATCAAGGATGTTCAGAAGACTGGCCTCATTTATGTCCATTGTGAAAAAATGTTTATGAATTCCTCAGCCAACAAAAGAAAAGTCCTGTTTTGGAGACCTTGAAGGAGGAGTCTAAACTACCACGGTAAGGTGAGATTTCACCCTGCACGGTGATACATCAAAAACATGCGTGAAAAATTAAACAGTGAGCCAACGCATATTTACAGATCATTGCTACAGAACTGCGGGTGCCTTGACCATTACAAGATGAAGACATCGTTGATACTCTCTTGTCTGGAATAAGAACTTACTCCTGTAGCTAACTCCATAACATTAGGAATCCTCCTCTTACCAAATGCTGTGCATTTGAGTACAGTGCCTTAAGTGTGAAGAAATTTTCACTTGAGGTCTCCCTGAATTTGCCCCAAGAATTCCCTGGAGCCACAGTATAGCTCATGAGACTTCTTCACCCCCAACCAAGGCAATTCTCATTCCCATACATCATGGCACTGTGACTAGCTACCTAAGAATATAAGCATAGAGCAGAGCTCCCTGACAACTTAAAGGCAGTGTGGGATTACACAATAAGAGATATGTGGTCATTACCTGAGAGTAAATAGAGAAGAAAAACCAATACTGACAAAAATTAGACAAATATCTACCACTCAGTCCACTGATTTACAGAGCTAGAAGGTCCTTCCAAGTCAAGTCCCCCACTTTAAAGATGAGAAAGCTGACACCAAAAAAAGTGAAACAAGGTGCTCAATACCAGAGCACTCGTAGTTAACACAGGGACTGTACAGGGAAGACTGAGAAAGCTATATAAAGCTAATTAAAATAATTACTCTTGATAGATTACAAGTAATATGGCTGCAGTAGTACTTTGGAGAAATGATTGCAGCACAACACAACCTGGCTGTGCTGTCAAAACTCTTCACCTCTTCATTCTGTGGTGCATTCCTTCATTCTCCTATAACATGTACTTCCCACAAAGCAGTTTCTCAAAGTGCAGCGTCCTTGGACCATCCACTTCAGAAGTACTTAGGCTTCTTACCAAAAATGCGAGTTGCTGAGCACCACTGTAGAGTGATTCTGTAAAGAATCAAAATCTCTGAGGCCAGGGTTCAGGAAGATACGTTTTAATAAGTACCCTAGGTGATTGCGAGGCATATTAAAAGCTGAGAACTGATGCCACAGAAATTTGAAATATGTTCTCAAGATATATTTTAGACAATAAGCATGTAGAATTATTTAGATTTGATCAAAATTTTATAACATAATAGGAATAAATCATAAAATGGTCAGGGGTTGGGAAAAGCAGTGTGTGAACTGACACTGTATTAAATGTCCCTCTGTATTTTTAGTTGGACTCACCATCAGTGGGACTAGTCATAATTAAAAGTGTCCCTCAGGAAATAAGTCTATCTTTTTAGTTCATCTTTAATCAGGTCTATAATTAACTTGGAACTTAGAATCTGTACCTGACTAGATTTCAAGGAAGCCCCAGAATGCACCCACTTCTTCCAACAGCATAGCAACCAGCATTCACCCAAGCATTAATCTACGTTCTTGAATTCACCTCCTAAGAAGCAACCTTCTTTGGACATTACCTCCAACAGAGTAATAGCTCCAGTGAAATCTCTTTGTGAAAGCAGCTCCTCTAGCTTTGGAATCTTCCTCCCTTTCTTCTTTCTTTTGTCAGTGGGCGGCAGGTCCCCGCCCACAGCAGGCTTGGCCCTTGAAAGCATCTGTGAAAGAAACAACAAAGATCCAATTCCTATGGTCAGTTTTAGACTGAGTGTGACAGCTCCAGGATTTACAGGTCAAACCCTTGACAACGAATCCCAGGGAAGCCTATTCAAACTCTTTCTCTAACCACGTATTTTACTAAAGTGGCCATCACCCTGTACTTGAGCTGAACCAAGCAGCTACTCCCAACTTCATCTTCTCCAATTAGAGTGAGGTAAGACATGCTTTCGCGCAGCTTCTGGCATCGCAGCCTTTCCTTGTCTGCTTTCCATCCCACGCGTAGCTCAGGTGTGGGGACACGGAGAAGCAGGAGGAAAGAAATCATCGAAGTATTTACAGTTGTATCCCTGTTCCCGGGGGGAACACGGGGAGGGCAAGGAGATCCTCTTCTGCTGACACTCCTAGACTTAACCCAGAGGGGTGCTGGGAACCGCTAATCTCCAGTCCCAGGGCCTACTCAGAGTCCTCCCTCACTGTTCACAGCCACTAACCATCTTTGCGTCGGTTCTGGGAGCCCCCTCCGCAGACAGACAGCAAAGGCGGGGCCCCAGCGCGTCTCTCCACCCACAGAGCTCGCTCCGTATCCACGGCAACCCCGCCGGGGGCCGGTCCGTCCCAGATAAGCGCTCGCGGAAGAAGCGGTGCCCTCCGCTTGTTGGTTCCGTTCCGCTTCCGCCCCTGCAAGAGTGGTAGTTCGTGTCTTAGGAAAAGAGCATCGTTTTCTGTGCTGGGACTGAGAGTTTGTGTCTCTGTTTATGAGCTTACTTTAGGAAAAAACGAATTCGAATGGCATTGTTTTTCAAATACAAGTTCCGTGGGAAAGTCATTTTCAAGGACCACTTCCGATTTGGGCCGCGTTGGGCTCCATAGCAACCCCCGGCGCTGACTGGCGCGAGATCTCGGCCTCCGGCGGGTGCGGAGAGCTACGAACGAATACCTGCTGAACCGAGGCAGCTGGCCTTAGGAAGCGGGAGTTCACGAAAATACACTTTCTTATTTCCATAGCGACACTTACACGCAATATGGAACTGTCATAAATATGTGTTGTTTGGCGGACTTAATTCATCTATCTTCCTTCTGAACGCAGTGAACACGGCTGCAAAGGTAGTCGGACTTAATTCATCTATCTTCCTTCTGAACGCAGTGAACACGGCTGCAAAGGTAGTCTAAAGCCAGCGAATCGTCGAGTGTTAGAGCTGGAAGGGACCTCAAAGGACATCCAGGCCAACCCTGAGAATTAACAGACTAAGGAACTAACATCTGGAGAAGTGAAGTAATTCCCCCAAGTGTGTAGGTAATTACATTACCTACAGTTGAATTACATTACATACCACCTGATTAACTAGTTTTATAGAGACCATAAGCTCATTGAAAGAAGGTATGATTTCTTAGATTCTTTTGCATCCTCTTCTCCCTCCAGCCTCTGCCTCCCTCCCCCCGCCTTCGCCATCACTTGAAGAGTAAATGAATGAAACTATCTTAATTCACTGATACATAGACTTTTGTATGCACGCAAACATCGATACATAGAGACATACAGACATACAGACAAGCATTTGCGTAGGCTTCAGAGATGCACAAATTCGCCAGCACAACTTATAATTCTTTTGGTTCCAAATATCAGAAATATCCCTACTTTTGGTTGAATTTAAAACAAAATTATTTTTAGCTCTTTACAGAATAGTCTATGTATTTTCTGCAATTGCTTTGTTGTGATATCATTCAAACACCATAAAACTCACCCTTTTAAAGTGTACAATTCATCACTTCTTGGCCTTTTGGCTAAGATCAAGTGTAAAGTGTACAATTCAGTGACTTTTTGTATATTCATAGTGTTGTGTATCTGTCACAACTATCAAATTCCAGAACACTTTCATCATCCCCAAAAGAAACCCCACATACATCAGCAGTCATTCATCATTCCCCTCCTCCCCCAGCCTCGGGCAACCACTAATCTATTTTCTGTCTCTGTGGATTTGCCTATTCTGGGCATTTCCTATAAATGAAATCATACAAACAGAGGTCTACATACCACATCTAAATATTGAAAAATTTTAAATCAGCCTAGCAAACAGTTAAATAAAATGTTTTATCCTCCTACCCTGACAAATATACCATCATGAAGAAGGTCAGGCTCCAATTTAGAATTCTCAGAATTCTGTTGCTGGAGGTGGCAGTGTGGAGAGAGCCAGCCCCAGCCCTCAGCCCATTCCCTTCTCTTCTCTGCCCAGACTCCATCCGCACCATGAGGGACTTTGTGCATCTGTGGACACCCAGCCTATAAATGTAAGCTGTAGTCACCCACTCTTCTGTGAGCTGTCATCCTCTGACAGACTTAAGGGGAGGACAGATGGAGGGAAGAGACCTGCACAGGTGTGGAACCAGGCTTGGGATTGTATGGGCAGGGAGTTCAGAGTCCTGGGCACCAAAGCATGGTGAGGAGGGCTGCAAAAACCCCTTAGCTTCATGGCCTCTTCACACCTGGTGTAGGGTGCAGTTAGAACACGGAGCCCAGAGCAGGGGCCCCTCTCCAGGGTCTAAGGGCAATGTCGCTGATAATGCTGTAAACAACCCTGTTGATCTTGCTATATCTGTTGAAATGATCTCTGATTTCCAGCAGAGGTGATACTGCTTTAAGCCTCTAAATTCCTGCAGAGGCTGTTTGAACTATAGCTGTAATTATGAAGGCAGAATATGGCATTGAGTGTGCTTGAGAAGAAGCTATTGTTCCCAGCTACAGCTCTAAGAATGTAAGGTGTTATGAAACACATAATAACGTAGACACGCAAAAGCTGGTTGCATGGGTTTAAAAGGCAAAGTTGGAACTTGCAACCTTATCGCAGTTGCAACAGAACTGCAGTTTCTGAGGGATTGTAAAAAATAATCCAGATTTTGATGATAGTTATACGACTATATAAACTTACTGAAAAATATTGACTTGTACAATTAAAACAAGTGAATTTTATGATATGTAAATTGTGTCTTGCTAAATCTATTTTCTTGTTGTTTTTAGTTTTTTGTTTTAAGAGAATCCAGATCTGAGCTCAGAGTGATGTTCCAGAGTCTCTGTTACTCCAATTTAGCCCTGATGCACAGTGATACTGACACCTGGTCCTTGAGCCATGAGTTGCTGAGGGAATGAGAAAGACAGTAGAAGTTTTGGCATTTCTTGCTAGAGTGGATTTTCCTTAAGGAAAAAGTCTCATGAAAAGAAGAACCCTCAACGTTTCTGCTACAGAAGCACAGTAACTCTATTCATCAGTTCTATTGAGTGCTGTTAGTTTTTTTCTTCTTTTGTTCACTAGTTTCACAAATATTCTACCTTACCATCAAAAAGAATGTTTTAGGGGCTGGCCCGATGGCGTAGCAGTTAAGTGTGTGCGCTCTGCTGCTGGCGGCCCGGGTTGGGATCCTGGGCGTGCACCGACGCACCGCTTGTCAGGCCATGCTGTGGTGGCATCCCGCATAAAGTGGAGGAAGATGGGCACAGATGTTAGCTCAGGGCCAGTCTTCCTCAGCAAAAAGAGGAGGATTGGCATGGATGTTAGCTCAGGGCTGATCTTCCTCACAAAAAAAAAAGAATGTTTTGAAAAACAAATTTTATTCCACTCTCTCCTAGTGAGTTATATGGGCTCAAGGGGAGAGGACTCCTTTCTGACTGTTCTAAGCAAGAGCAAGAATGACTCTGGGATTAAGCATTTGAAAATATACTCCTAAAGACATACGTTTGTCGTTGTAGGACTACATATTCACCAAAAATGCTACGTATTCACCATGGAAATTTTGGAAGATACTGAGAATTAAAACGAAGAAAATGTAAATTATCTCTAAATCTATAACCAAGAAATGACACCTAATTTGCTTTTTAAAAAGTGATTTAACCAGTACTAAAAGATAATATAGCCATGGTTGAACTACTAATAGGTTTGAGAACTAGATGATAAGAAATCTGTAGATGATAATTGTGGAAGCTGAGTGGTGAGTATATGAGTGTTTATTACGCCATTCTATTTTTGTATAGAAATTTTCCATAATCTAAAATAAAAAAGAGACATCTATTTGAAAACTCCCAAATTCTTCTGTACGGCCAAATTTTTAACAGAAATGAATTAAAGACTGCGGAGTCAATATTTATTTCAATATAAAAGGTAACTTGCATTTACACCAGTTAAAACCAAGTGGCTTTGTGCATGTGAGGATACTGAGAAAAATAACTTTTAGCCTCTGATTGCTATTGTAATTGTTTATTTGTTGGAAAGATGATTGGAAAATCAGAAAGCAATATCAACATAATAAAATGTAAACAGGAAAAATACCAGGCATTGCAATTAGGTGAGCCCCAAGAGAAGGAACTCCGTGTCAGCCAGCTGCAGAGGTGTGGGTTCCTGGGAAGGTCATTTCAGTTCATCCCCTGGTGCTGAAGGCAGCCTGATAGCAAGAGCTGAAGGTGACAAAGGGTTGCATGCTTTGGAGTCAGCAGGACCTGGACTTGAAGCCTGCCTCCCTTGCTTCCTACCTGTGTGACCTTGAGCAGGTTACTTAACCTCTCTGAGTTTTAGATTTTCCCCTGTAAATAAAGGAAGTAAAACCTATGTCACTGATTTGCTTGAGACTCACCTGAGATCATTTACAAGCAAGAGGTACTATACCAGTGGTTAAGCATGCAGCCTCAGGAGATAGACTGCCTGCGTTCAATTCCTGGCTCTACCACTTGCTTTTGCTGTGTGACCTGAGCTAGTCACTTCACCTCTCTGGGCTTCAGTTTTCTCACCTGTAAAAAGAAAATGCTAATGATAGTACCTGGTTCCTAGGCCCATTGGTTGTGAAAGTTAAATGAATTATATACAGAAAGCATTTAGAATAGTGCTGGGCACACTGTCAGTGCTATTACATGTGCTTCAGTCTTCGTATTATTTTTTTCATGAGATATAATTTGCATGCCACAAAATTCACTATTTTAAAGTGTACAATTTAGTGGTTTTTTAGTACATTCACAAGATTGTGCATCACCATTATCTAATTTTAGAACCTTTTCATCACCCCAAAAAGAAACCTGTCACTCCCTATTCCTCTTTCCCTAAGGCCCTGGCAACCATTATTCTATTTTCTGTCTGTATGGATTTGCCTATTCTGGACGTTTTATATAAGTGGAATCATACAGTATGTGACCCTTTATGTTTGGCTTCTTTCACCTAGTATAATGTTTTCAAGGCTCATCCATGTCAATAACAAGTACCAGTATTTCATTCCTTTTGATGGCGGAATAATGTTTCATTGTATGGATATGCCACATTTTGTTTAAGTCTTCATTTTATTTATTTATTTATTCATTCATTCATTCATTCACTCATTTTGCTGAGGAAGATTTGCCCTGAGCTAACATCTGTGCCAATCTTCCTCTATTTTGTATGTGGGTCGCTGCCACAGCATGGCCCCAGATGAGTGATGTAGGTCAGCATCCAGGAACTGAACCTGGGCTGCTGAAGTGGAGTGTGCCAAACTTAACCAGTAGGCCATGCGGCTGGCCCCATAAGTCTTCATATTATTAAAAGCACTTAACAGGGGCTGGCCCCGTGGCTTAGCGGTTAGGTGAGCTCGCTCTGCTACTGGTGGCCTGGGTTCGGATCCCGGGCACACACTGACGCACC